GCGGTCTAAGTTGTCCATTGGGGTCGGGAACAGGCCAGAAGTCTGGTCAAATAGGTTCTCGAATTGCACCTCGATTGCTAATTTGTCATTTCTACGGCTCGGGTAGCAGAATTTTGGCCCTAGTGATAGGCTCTCCAAAAGCGTTTCATCGATAAAAAAGTTGGAGCAGTTTTTTTTTCCTCACCCAAGGTTTTGTTTAATTTGAATGTTTTCTTATCAGCCTGTTTTGTAGCAATACTTCTAACGTAAGATATAAACTCCTGACATTCGTCGTTTGAGAGATCCTGTACAGTGGGTAGTCTTCTGTTGGCCATATTCATTTGTAGTGGGTACTCTCGTGACCACCCGTAAACCGAAATGAGCAGGGCTAATATCCTAAGACGTTCATTATATTATTGATTAGTAATTCTTCGGAAATTTTCTTCCCTTAGCAGATTTTACTTTTGAAGTTTGACATAATGTGTAGCAACGCAAGACATTCCCTCCTACAATGGCAAGGGTATACTGAGTTTGTTCCAGCCTTGGTTTATCAAGCGACCCATAGGTAGCACGAAGTTGGAGCTGCTGTTTAGGTGCCAATATCCAGGAGGGATCTTATCCAACAACAACTTTGGCCCCTTCATCACTATTTAATTTATAAGTTGACATGCAGCATCACCACATGGATAGACGTTAACTACCCACTGAAAACCGGGGTGCTCATAAAATCGATTGCTCTCTTCCCATGCTTGGTATCAACTGTGTACTTCCCACGGAAGCTCATAGCTGGTGCCTTTTGTTACGGTCATTGAAGGTTTTCAGTAGATTCGAATTAAAAGCATCTGCCTCACAGCTCTGTGCTGAGTGGAAGCGACCGAGTAGTGGACAGTGTATGACCTGGAAACGAAGTATGAAAACAGTAACCAATAAACTTAGACGGGTCAGCAACTAGCGCCTTCCTAAATGGGGAACCCGTGACTCCATTCACCAGTAGTTAATGACTGTGGCAGAGATGGCCTGACAGTGTAGTCAGTGACGCTCGTGCATCAAAGCTATCCCCTTCAATACCCAGCTATTCAGTTTCCAAACTTAACAAGGCTTGGCTGTATATCTCACACTCTCCCCTTTCCCGATGATCGAGGCTCCAGTAACTGGAACCAATGTGTCTATGGTGCACAGTTTATAGCTGGTAGGGCAAATTGAATTGAAAACCAAGAAATGTTTGGTAAAGGAACCTTTTGGTTATCATATTTGATGGGTTCAATGATCACTTAACTACAGATCAGTCTTCGTATCAACTTTACTTCATCTGGACACGAACGAGAGCTGCACGTGCAGAATCACTGACAGTCAGCATGTGGTTGAATGACTGATTGTCCCCAAAATGCCGAAGCCGAGCATTGTTTTCTTCCATTAACTGTGCTTCGTCGCTGCTCATACAAAGCACTCTCCAATTACTCCCTCTGTCCTCAGACAAGCTAGTTCAACTATCTAAAAACCTTTGTCTTCCTCTCACTGCTGGTGAGACACTATAAGCCTGTGTACTTTATGTCAGTATGCAAATTCTCACACTGCTGACTGTATTTGATCACGGAGGAGAGTGTGCACATGATTTGCATAGATTAGAATATTGGAACTTGTGATCCCCCAATGTCAGTGAGCCTTAGAAGATAGTATCTTAGATTTCCGTTAAACAATGATGCCCCAAAGGTCCAATGGGGTATCTTATAAAGTGTGACAAGCTGGACATATCTTACTCTAAGCCGGTGTTGATACAGTAGCACTCGTCTTTTTTTAAAAAAAACGAATCAACATTAGTAGCGTGAGAAGCTTCGGAAATTTCCAATCGAGGTTTAATTCTCTGCGTGAAGTTGATCTAAGCCTTATCGGGAATAATTAGCAATGCGCATCTGAAGGAACTCAAGGAAGTTTCCCAAGTAAAGCTTCCAATCTATGAACCATCGAGGAACCAGTCGACATATGACATCTTGATGTGGCTGAAGTTGGAAGCTGAGACTTCAAATGTAAAACCCAAATCAACCATATTTGTCGATGAATGCAACACATGGCACTAAAGCTTTTCGGAGAGGATGTCGGATAAATAGTCCTTCATTGACCCCACAATCTGAGCACGTAGCCAAAAGCAATCAAACTGTTTTATTTCAAAGAATGACTCCATCTAAATGGGTTATTTTGAATGGTTACCTGCTTTCAATTTCAAATACAGCCAACTCGGGGACTAAAAGTTATTTGTACAAATCGCAAAACCATTTACATAAACATAATATTGTTCGATGGTGGGTAAAACTTAGCCACATGATATGAAACGCGTAACTGAAGAATGAGTAACAATTTATGCTGCCTACGTAAGGTTCAATCAAACTGTCGACCAGGCCTTCAACCAAAAGCCAGGAGGCCATCACTTCGAATTTCTCTGGAAGTTCGCGAGATGGTCCAAGTGGTTAGAGTGCGAATTTACTAGGCGAGAGGCCCGGGGTTCGAACCCGACCTCCGCCCCTTGATCTCCCGTGTCTAGGCTTGGGCAACCTGGCAGTATCCTAGCCCTCATGCTTCCTTCCAGTGGCATGGCAGTTAGGCACCAAAAGGGTATTACAGCTCAACGATTGTTTTCGCGAGATACACATCGCTGATAACTTACGACAAACACGAAAGAATCATACAATGCTCCTCCACTATTCTGCATTAGTAAACTAGGCGTTGCACGACAACTGATATAAACTGTTCACTTGTGGAAATCCCGATAAATTAATAGAATTAAAGCAGTTCATGAGACTCTTCAACAAATAACCTTAGCAGAAGAGACCCAACAGAAGACCCAACACGCTGAAGCTCTACAACCAAGATGTGATTAAATGTAGACTGACACTTTTTGCTGAGAAGGCTGTAGGGTAGTAAAGCTCGGTACGACCAGAGACAAAGGCTATTCGTACAAAGTTAGTTCATTTTTCAAACGACGCAGAATTCAAGATGTCTACCTTACCACCATTAGGTACAGTGGTTTTTGCTGGAAAAAACGCGAAACTTGGTAAATCCCTGCAAATTCCCAAATATTTTCTTGTGGAACTGTTTTTGTGGGAAAGTACTGATTCTGTATATCGCACGTGCACAAGTGCAACTTATGTCTAAGCCGAGTATTCCAGTTCTTGTGACAGGTCCTTCTTGGTCGATACTAGGAAGCTTGTATCAGGTGTTGATAGCTTCCTAGTGTAAAGAAAAATCACTAGGGGAGATCTTCTGCAAAAGTGTGCACCGAAGGTTGACAGCATTTTAATAAGAAAAACGGGATAAAACCACGTAAAGTTAGTAGTTTACAACTATCAGTACCGGACGGACCTTCGTAACAAAACCTTTCATAGAAGTATTTCGATCAGTCGCTTGCAGTTTTGATCACATTGTTCCCATCACTGAATGAATTTTCACCGTTTCCTCTTTACCATCTAAAGTAGAATCAAGTTTCTCGTATCTCCTTTCCCTCACAAGGAAATGTTATTAAGAACTACTGTAAATGAAGTGGGACAAGCAACCGCTGCTCATGGCTGACGTTTTTACTAGAACGACGGGGACTAGTTTTGAGTTCAGTGCATCTATCTCACGACTGGTATCAATATCCGTTTTTATTTCCTGAATGTAGCTGCGATCCCTTTTAATTAACAACAAGTGAGATTTTCAAGACGCTGTTGTTGGCCTTCCCTCTATCCAAATGGTATGTGGTATCTCCGCTTTTCATTCATAGCTCTATTTTAGTGTCAGTCGTCTATTTCGTTCAGGGTTCCAAAATAAAGAGACAGTTCCTCCTCACGAACTGCTTGACTGATATGACCCTTTTGTCAACTCGTAGCAATGAAATGGCTCACAAAACATAATGAACATTGGAACTGGTGTCTGCCAATTTTTCATAAAGTAAGAATTAAGCTACCCAAGGGAAAGGCAGTTGGACAGACCGAACAAAAACTTGCGCCAGTGAGCTCGAGATAGCCCAATGGTTAGGTTGCGGACTTACTGACCTGAAGGTCCGTCGTTTGAGACCAAACCACAGCAACTCAAATGTTCCTGCCTTGGCTTGGGCAACCTGTCAGTATCTCAGCCATCATGCTTCTCTCAGGTAGCGGCAGAAAGTGTTGCAGCTGAACGCCTATTTAATGTATCCTTCAACGATGAAGTCATTCGGTTACCTCAGTGAGGGCTTGATCATTATCACAGCCTTCAACCAACGATCGTCAGGATCAAAGTAAATTGGTTTTCGGTATGTATCTGGGGCTGTGTAAGTTTGAGTCGAATTTCCTATTTTTGAGTTGAATAGTCGCAGTCTGGGGACTGTCAGATCATTTTCGACATTTGGTGCGAATCATTGATACGTTGCACTTTTTGACCATGTGAATGTTGCATCTCGGTGTGAATAGGTAACCCCCGAGTATGAAGATCAATTACATCGTCTTGGCTCATCGGCATGTTAAAACTAATTCCTGCAACAAGCCAACAAGCTAACAACAGTGCAATGCACAGTACCGCGTGGCAGCCAAACAGCACGAATCTATATCCCTAGGCCACTTCCCAGCGCATTTTTTCTTTTATCGATCAGTTTTCATTCCTTCTTTTCTCCGTTGCCAAGGCAACCACAGTGACACCTTCAACAGCCCCCAGGTTCATTTCCCGAGAAAGTTTCTCAAATGAATTTCATTTTTAATGTGTTTACAAAACTTCTGCTCCTGTTTCTGTTTTGCAGTTTAAGTCTACTTTCCACCAAACCGTCTGCAAACGCAAATCTATATCAAATAAGTTAACAGTGACGTACATGTTGTAATGCCCATTTTCGACTGCAGACTATCATTCGAACCCAGGTTTTGATTAAATCAGCTGATTGTTGGGAAAATTAATCAAGGTACGATGGATAAGCAATAATCACCATTACATCAGTAATGATGTTGGCGGTGATGACGGCAATATGCATGGTGATGATCATGGCGAAGAGGATACTCATGAGAGTATCATAAGGATGTCAACAGTGACGAAAATGGCAATGATTATGATGATGATTATGGCAATTAACCCATTGAATGCTGATCTGTTCACCGAGCTTGGCAACTAACTTGCAATTGTTTTGTCACCATAAGAGAAGACACCGACAGTAGACGGGTGTTTCCTATCTGCTTGATTTCATGTAACATTTGATGATCCTCATCCCTTGGCGCGGCTATCTAGCTGTAAGACAGTGTTTCCGTAAAAATATTGATCCGCTTGTGATTTTTTTTGCGTTGTGGTAAGCGTTTCTTTCAATCGACTGGTTAACCCAATTCTTTCTGTTTTTAATAGCTTCTTCCCTCCTCTCGATTGTCCTCTTCTCAGTTTGCATCATCTCATATCGAAGATGAATGACTAACCACATCACTCCATTGTAACACTTGGTGTTTCTGTGTCCACTGGTTAGTTTGATACTTTGATTTTATTGATATATCAGTTTGATTCGTTCGATGCTAAACCCAGTTTACGACTGCAAACGTTGTTAGCGGCAGTGTCCACCAAAGTGCCGGTGGGATATTATCACTGATATTTATAATCCGTAGATCATAACTGAAAATGAACGTGCTAAACGACCACTAGGAGTGAAGAATTGAGGTTTTGCAGTCCCAATTTAGTGAGCACAATGTGAATAGTGTTATAGTGCCGGAATATTGGTGGCTCTGATGTGTCCGCTGTCACCCAGTCAAGTGACTACTGATCAGTTCGCCGAGCTTGCAAGTTAGCCTCAAACGTTTCGTCATCTATCGAGGGGAAGTCATCGGTGCCCGTTCGGGTGAGCAATGAACACTAAAGAATGCAAAATCAACAATTAAATCGGATATGCACAGCGAAAAACGGAGAGTTCAACACGATTTCTCCAGGACGTTCGCCAAGTCAAATAAGTCATCCATCAACCTATACATCTTCACTTCATTTCAGGCGGGGCCGATGGTATGACGTTGCATTAGAGTGATTTTCAGCCCAATTTTCGCTGTTTTGCTGGCTGTTCCTATTTTATCTACCATCTATCATCTATCTATCATCAGAACGTCGTGAAGTCTACAATGTATTGGGTGGTGACAAGTGTAAAAATACGGGATTGTTGTAAGATTTTTCGGTGTTTTGACCTCTTAGTGTTTTGTTCCCGTATGTATTTAGGCCTGTTTAGCTTCATGTTAACTGCGTATGCAACACTTTGCGAAGTGTGGTGGGGGGATTTTGAAATGCAAGGTTATATTGGCTATTTCTGAAAAGAATTACGTTAAACCCTGGGGTCAAGGGTGAAATGAGACTTAGCCCACGTTGTCAGCACAGACAACTTAAGTGCTCCAGTAGCTCAGCGAGGGTCACTTTCATAGAAGGTCACAAAAGTGAAGAGGAAATTCCCTTCCGGTGGTCGAATTTTTAGATTAAAGCAAGGCAAACTGTAACTCAGTCACCTGTTGGTGTGATGTTTTTTACATTGGTAATTGAAATTTGTCCTGTAAATAAGGTCAGTCTACGGTGAAAAGTCGAGAAGCACTCTTCAGCTGTTTCATTTGGAATTGTCAGCAATGTGTCTCACGAAGCTCCACAGAGTTTCGAACCTGTGATCTCCCAGTTTAATGAGTGGCAACCCATATTCATTTGGACACGTGGGTAATGCAGCTTGCTTTGTTGCAAAGCAAGTTGTTGTGTTAACCTAACTCGGATGAAGAGGGGTGTGTGATCAGCTGTCTTCCGAGCAAATCCAATTAAGGTTTAAAATCGCCCGACTTTTCCGGACCATCAGAACTCAGATAGCAATTTACAACCGGAAGCAGCAGAGTCAGGTGTAGCTAGCTGGCGCTAACCAACACATGTGATGAGTTGGTAGCACTGAATAAAACCAGGCTTTTTATACACAACGACTGACCCCTAGAATCACAAATGTCTGCTTGAAATAACCGACGGTTGGAGTGACCTGGAGTTCAACTTCCGTAATGAACTGAACAAGTACCTGGTGCCCTAACCAAAAATTCATCACTTGCGAGCATCGAAATCAACCACAAACCCGCTTAAAGGGATCTGAGAGGTTTAACGTCAGAAGCTAGTTAACGATTAGCACAGGTTTTTGCTGTTCACATCGAGATCCAGAACTGTACCGATTGATAAGCCTTTGCACTGAGTTGTACTTGTTAATTCCAGCCGATCGTTACAGTCTGTTCTGTGCCACTAGTGTTTCCTCTCAGCAGAGTCAGCATGGTAATCCATTCACAGAAAGGATGGATGCAAACGCCTCAAATCATGTCCATATGCTCAACTTGACAAACCTTTCTACTGGTGTTGGCCATATGGCCCATCACAGTCAAATCTAGCGGTTTATCGCAGGCGAGAAAGCTGGATACTTGAAGGCGTGTGGCTTTAAAGCTTCGAAAGCGATGATGATACAGGAGTAAGTGGATCAAAGGTCTTAAATGGAAGACGGTGAATTGTTGACAACTCGGAGGTAGAACAAGTAACATTAATCGATGAAAAGGAAGCCACAGAATCGTGCGGGTAAAGAGTTTTAAGGAATTAAATTCATATGAAGTAAAGCCAACGAGAAAGGAAGTCACATCACTGCCGGGCAATGATTGTCCAACAGCTTATTTTGAGCACAGAAAATCAAAAATTACTCAGACTCCCGTAACTGTATGCCCAATTTAGTTATCGAAAACTTCATAGTTGCGCACTGTAATTGATTCATGATGGTCGTCTTGACACATTCTGATCGAATGTCGGTTTTCTTGGCCACATATTTGACATAAGTCTACCCTTCTGAACGAAGGCTCCACCCTTGTTTACGGAAAAACAAGCACCGCCCGCCCTGTTGGAAACAGACAGAGAGCGAGGTACCAATATTAGGAGGCTTTTGCAAAGATCCTAAATGAATTATCTTATATTAGCTAATTAAGTCTGCCAGCTATACTTTGGGGCTGTATTTCTTACGTAATAGTTACGTAAGGGGGCATTTTCAGGCCGTGGAACTTCTGTCGACCGGAGTTTAAACCGACACCAAATCCTGCGCGATGTTACTCTATCATTATCCCTTAGAACCGCTCAAACATCGATGTGAGAATCTCCTTCATTGTGCGAGAGTGTGAAAGATCGATAGCGTTGATTGACACACGCCAACCATGATTAGAAGATGACAGTCTTGTGGCATGCAGTGTGAATACATCGATTATTGAGAGCCTCCACCATGAAAGACGAACAGCATGCCAAATTCAGGATTAAGCCCTGAATCCTACCAGAAATTCCAAACCGACGAGTGGTTGAGCCTCTGTCCGTTAAGAAGAAGTCCAAGGACCGTTATCTCATATACAACCAGATGGTTTGATCAATGGTTAAACAGTCCAGAAAAATTCATTGATGACTCATTAAGCAGGTCGAAAAAGGTGAGCGACAACCGCCCAATTAGTGACTAGCCAGCCAGAACGTTCTCACCACGAAGTATCACAAGGCACCACACCACTCACTGTGATGAGTGCAGTGGGTAACTACGCTGGGTCGGTGAAGCCAGCCAGAAACCGCATTGGAAATCTGCATTATTCGGTCACCGTTAGGGAGCCATAATGTATGGTGCATTTGCTCCAAATGACACGGAGACAGGTTGCTGCCGAAGGCCGTACTATTATTTAAGGATTCCCTCTTGAATGGTGATCATTGTGAGTGGATTCATCAAGCTATGCGGCCGCGAGAATTTCACCACATTTCTGTCCTATAAAAAAGCTCCTGTTGAATCTCCAGCCAACATCAAATTTATTTCGTACTTGGACTTTGCTTCACGCATTGAGATCAAGGTTATGCAATCTGCTTATTTTCAGGAAGGAACCGTTATCTATATGTGGGACCATGAATACCATGCACTGAGTTTGGAACTTTCCTCGAATCTCTGTTTTCAGTAAATGATCGTTGTACGCGTCACGGTAAAATTACAAGCCAAAAGCCAGTACACGTTACAGTCTCTAAATGAATTAGCCCTGGACGAACTAGCTTGGAATACACTGTCCTTGAAACAGGTGTCTCGGCGGTAAATTGTACCAGGGCGAATCTCCATAAAATGTCTCATCCATGAATGCAAAGTTCCAGGACAAAGTGCTCCGTCGTCAAATCTGCGAGGACTAAAGCTTGTAGAGAACTTTCCTGACAAACTAAGTCTTCCAGCCTGAACTTCACTAAACCTGCTCGTGTATCGAGTGAAGTGATTGTATTCCCAGACTTTGTGTTACATAGGTTCAAGATCACTTTTGAGTTTTCAAGACATCCGTACCATATTCCCATACGGACCACATTTTAGAGGGGAAAACCAAGGTTTATCCTATTAACCATATTCAAATTTATTCAGAAAATACCTTTTCCTTATCCGAGTAACAGTCTTTCTTCTGCACAGATGTCACGGTGAAAATTTCCAACAGACATTACTACCTGATCAATAAAAAAGAACCTGTAGTTCATCTCAAATTTACAAGGCAATGATATCAGTTGGATAGTTTTGAATATCCGGCTAAAGTGCGTTGTTAAGCAAGCATCGTTTTTATTTGTAACCTCACAGATGCTTATTTGAGTCTGAATATTCGACATGAGTATGTGGCTCCCCCTCGTACTACAGAAAACCCAAAATTTGATGAAACTGTCTGTAAGATGTATTTGGCTACCTACCTAGATAGTTGAAGGTGTTCAAGTAGGCTACCCTTGTGTGCTTATACTCGTTTCGTTTTTTTTCTTGCATTTCATTTGGGTTACGTTCAAAGCCGGATCAGCTGCACTTCGCGTGCACGCAATTTTCATTCCAACAAGCAGGCGCTCATGCGTTTCTGTTCGCATGCCCAAGAAGTAGGAGGTGTACATGTGTGCATGTACATGTTGGAAATAATTCTTATGGCACGCTGCCCTCGTGACAACTGAGGTGCAAACAAAATGAAGCTACGCCGCCGCGGACGCCGCACAGAACAAAAGAGACAACAAACTAACCATGAACCCATAAATACAGCAAGCCTGTAAATCAACTACATAGATTTTTATGTACTGCTACTCCTAGTACAATTCTGGTGCTCGTTTAGCCAGTCAAACATTTTGTTTGTTCCCTATAGGCCCATAAATCGTTGCTCAGAACTTGTAACTTGTCCTCGCGTATGAACCTATTACCCCGTGCTGTCCTTCTTCATCCATTTCCCCTCCTATTTCTTCCTCAGTTTTTGTCAACAAAACGTAGAAACATAGAAATCACAATAGACCCTGTTCTTGGAACAAATTCGTAGGACTACAGCCTACCGAGGATGACACAAGTCAGTGAGCGGTGAGGATAAATGGCTTGCATGTGGCTTCGAATGACGCTGGTTGGGCGACAACAATATGCATAGCACGAATGCACTCTCTGCCAAACAATGTGTGAACAACGTACGAGACTACACTCCCAAACTTGAGTGTGCGTGCTTGACAATGGTCCAATGGGACACGTACATCAGAAGCACAAGCTTGCTTCTATCGGACGGAGATGACCCTGGCGAATTTTGACAGTTTGTGAAACGGCGGGACCAATTGATGAATTGCGCCACCTGTTATACTGCCTGTGTGCAGTTTCACCCTTCGGTGTTGTTGTCTTTGTTATATCTGCAGTGAAATACGGGAGTGAGACGGCTTTTTCCTTGGGGCAAGATTTGTGCATCCGAACACGATGTGAGTGTGTGCTTGATCGTATCTCAAGTCCCAAGCACGTATAAGAACAGACATACACATGCACACACACAGGTGCCGCCGTCTATCAATTGCAGTTAGCTTCTGGTTCACCTATGTTCAGTGTTGACAGCTCCAAAAGGGACAATTTAACGCAACTGTCGTACTTCAGTACAGTGTTTTACATACATCGTTTTGAGGGCATCAATCTTTGATGGCGATGCGTTCGGTGATGAACTGTATGGAATTTTCGTGTGTGCACACACTTACATGCTTTATGGCCCAAGTTCACATGAACTGCTTGGAAATTTTCGAGATGAGCGAACTATTTCCGTACTTGACGCATCCACATGTACCGAACGCGCAACAGTGTTGCACGTGCCAGCCAACGGGGTGGTGGAAGGGAGAGTCAGATGGTGCCCCGAATCATCTGTTAGGATGTTGGGACAAAAACTGTCAAGCTGAGATGCTGGTGTGACAAGGTGTGCACGCATTGACAAAACATCCTACCAGTGCTACTGTGAAGCCGCGAACAGGTGACCGGTCTATCCTGTTTTTGTTTGGGTACTAAGATCGGGAAATTTCCATGGTTGACAAAACTGGTCGGAATCCTGCTGCCGAAGAATAAATGCCGATAAGCAGGATGTGTATGACACTGGGAGGGAAAAGTTGGGAAAGCAGCTGGCCAAGATAGCAACAGTTTGGTGAGAATTCTTCGACCGCCTACCACCGGTTTCGCTCTTTCTGACTCAAATTGAGTAGACGCAGTTCCCAAGTTCTCAGCAGCCTCGTGTTCTACAAAAAACCGACTGCCACATAGGTGGTGAAATATATTTATTTGCTAATCGCACCGATTTTAAGGAGATGCTTAACTAAATTACCTGCCGATGATATTTTTACGAAGATGATTTGTAAATAAGTCTATTTCGCCACTTTACACAAGTTACTGTTGATGGAAGCTCCAGAACGACGCCAATCTGATGAGCTCCAAGAAGGATTAGACCGGTAGATGCCTGTCAGATTATCCTGTACCTTGAAGGTAGTGTTGATTCAACAGGAATGCTTGGACATCCTGCCTGTCAGTTATCCTTTACCCTGAAAGGAGTGTTGATTCAACAGGAATGCTTGGACATCCTTAATATTTCTCACCGAAGTCCTGAAGAGGCCTGTGTGTTTCAGCTGATGAGAGATTCAGATGGAATTCACTGGAATTCACATTAAAGTATATGCAGTTTTAGTTTTAATAGAAAAGGCTCAAAACATCAACTGGGACATTCTCCCTGATGCACACTCAGACTCGATTGTACCAAAATGAAATTTACCTATCAGGAAACCCGAAACCATGTATTCTGTCGATGTCTGTCAAAATCACCAACTGTAAACTCAGACCGCAACAGGACAGTTCTGTTAAGACTGATAAGCGAGTACAAGTGAGGTGACTATATTATTCCATGTGAAGTAAAAATGAAGTGAATCGAAATCAAGGAGCTATTGAAATTTACTCCCAATTTAAAATTTGCTTAAAGATGCGATTATAGGTGCAATCAGTTGTCAGTTTGGTTAGCAAAAACAGACTGCTGTGGGGCAGTTAAAAGGTTTATTTACCGATCTCCCTGGCCATTAAGAAAACAAAACAAATGGTTATCAGAACGTTCTCTCTACGTACACCTGAGTCGTTCGACTGAGTAAAAAGAGCCTTGTGTGGCCAAGCTTTTTAACCACACTTTTCTACTTGAGTGTTCCGACTTGTGTTCCAAATCCAACGCCTAAAGATGTGGTAAACTTTGTACACATAATGACAGATAAAAATGAGGCGAGCTGAACCACCTCCTCGTGGTGTCGACCGGGTAGCCTGGACGTCACTCTAGGTGAACTAAGTGTTCAGCATCTTCAGACAGGGCCAACCACCCTGTTTGGTATCGATATGCTGGTTAATTTAGGCAATGTATCATCTGGCGCCTCCGCACCAGTTCCAACCAGTACACAAGAGAGACTGGTGGGGCTCACGTGTGAGGAATGTGGCAAGTGCTGCAAATCGAAAGCTGGCTTGGTAGTCCACCATCGAATTCGCGGCAATGATAGTGTTGGCACGAACATGGTCGCCCAATCGGCTTGCGTTGACTGTTCCCGCTTTTTCCGATGAATGTTGGTCTGAGTCAACATCGCCGGCATGCACACCCCACCCAGCATAATGCAGATAAGCTTGGCCGAGTGAAGTATTCCGGTGCCCGCTGGTCCCCACGAGAGTCGCAATCACCCTTGTGCCTGGCTAACAATTTATACCCGTCCTGTGACACACAAACCGCGCTGTTCGCGAGAATGGAGCAGCATTTTCCTGGTCGATCGGCCATCAACATCAAAACCAGGTTACAGGTAGTTAACTGGCAAGTACAACAGGACAAATCATCATCTGGTGGCGCTGACCAAACTATCTGTCAAATGGCAGTCTGATCGTCAGAAGCCGATGACTGTAGCGTCTGGTTTAAACGAGTCGTAGATTACGCCATGTCACAATTGGAATCCCATGCTCACAGTTTACTTGCTAGTGTTGACCTTCTGGTATTGGCTCGAGGGTTGCATTCTGGCGTCATGATGCTGAAGCAAGTTCTGTCGCTTCTGGACCTTCTCGCCCCCAGGACATTCCCACACATCTGGAAAACTGCATCATGACGTCGTCGTCAGCTAGTCCACCGGATGCCTGTCAACCGAAAGCAGATCTACCGGGCCAACTACGTCGCCATCCAGACCCTATACCATCAAAGACGGAACGATGCTGCGTCTGCTGTGCTCGATGGCTCATGGAAGGATCTATGGAAAGATAACTGCGGCCTACCCCCGGACACCGAGCGGTATTGGAAAGAGGTGCTGCCAGCTGTGAAACGTGTGGATTGCCAGCAAAGTCGCGTAGTAGTACCATGCGGTTGGAGCTTCATCGGGTCAATTGCAGAAGTCTGCCGTACGATCCGTTTAATGGGCAATTCGTCCCCATGTCTTGGCAAGCTCACACCCAGGATGCCCCGTCAGTTCAATGCAAGCGCGTCCACTGGGTATATCAACGTGCTCTTACTATATGAGGGTTTTCCCCCACATCTGTGTCGTATCCTTATTACCCTAGTTTCGAAAGTCTCAAATCCGTATTCATCCGATCAACTGAGACCGATCTCCATGTCATCCATTCTTGTCCAGTGCTTTCATAAGGTGCTTTTTGATCGCTGAATTCATAAATCTCAACCGCCCTCATTCCAGTTTGCATTTATACATCGAGACAGTTGTTTGGAAGCTACGTTGCTCTTAAATGTTTCGCTCCGTCACTCTTCAGCGACTGCGTCTAACGTCAGCTTGGCGTTTGCTGATACTCGAAATCGTTTGATTCGGTTTCGCGTGACACAATCATCAGATCTGCAGAGGCGTTTAGAGCACCATTACCTCTAGTTCGATACATCACACAGTCCTATGAGAAAGCTGTAGCAGTTTTCCCCAACTCCGAGGTTCACTGCCACAGAGGTGTGAGGCAAGGAGGCCCACTCTCTCCATGGTTGTTCATCAGGGTCATGGATGAGGTTCTTGGATTGTCGATACAGCAACTGGGATACCTGTTCCATAACACCCTAGTAGATGTTTTGTCTTCCTGATGAGTGGGTTGTGTCTGCGAAAAGTCAGGCTTGAACCTGCTGTGGTTGAGTTGGGAAGAGCCGGTATGAAAATAAATGCCCGAAAGACTAAAGCGATGGTTATTTGTGGGGACAGGAAACATTGGGCAACAGCAGTCTCAGTCGAACAATTTCGCTTCGCCGAGGAACGCATCACTCCTCTGGGTCCGACAGACACCGTAACATATTTGGGCATCCCATTTACTTTCAAGGGGAAAGAAGTCTTTAACCACCGACAGCACCTGCTCACACTACTCGATGAGGTGAAGCATGCCCCGTTGAAGCCGCATCAAAGAATGGAGATCACGAGAAACTACCTGATACCGAGGCTAACATATTCGCAGTTGCTCGACCAAGTTCAACAAAACACGCTCAAAAGGTTGAACAACTTCATCAGGCAATATATTCGTTGCTGCCTACGTCTACCGAAGGACACAACATAGGGGACTTGGTACCCTAAGTCTGAGTGTAACCATCCCGATGCAGTGGAGAGCGTGTGTGGAAAAACTCTTTTCCACCCAGTGCCGAGTACAACGCAATGTGGTCAACGACTCCGAATTTGGCAAGATTGTTCTGAATCTCAGCCTTCCGATCCGAGTCCATGGTGCATGTTTAGACACCAAGGAAGAACTCTGGCTGCACAACAACATTGACGGCAGTGGTTTACGAGATTTGGTCGCTTCGCCTCTTTCTAATCGACGGCTCGTATTTCCAGAACGGGTGTTTCCTCGAATATTTATCTGCGGTATCCAGCTCCTATGAAATCTGCTTAAGACCAGAGTTAGAGGAGCTCGGTATGGACACGGTGGCCAGATGATTTTCTGTCGTGGAAACTGTGACTAACCAGAGATTTTGCTGTATGTTTGGCAGTCCTACTAGGTCGCGCATGATGCCAAATGTGCTCTTTATAATCGGGTTGCAAGTGGAGTCGAAAAACATCTCCGTCGCCTTGGGTACACGATTCTCGAGGAGTTGAGAGCACCTACCTTGACTTCCTTCATGAAGCCTGTACTAATTGATGTTAGAGAGCGTCGAGCAGCTGTGATAGACTTTAGCATAGTTTGAGATTGGCGCGGAGTGACTGTTTGGAATGAAAAGAAGCAGAAGTATGAATATTCCCTCACTATAATCTCAGCCCTATGTGCAATCGGTTGTAATGTCGGCTGTTTGGTCCACTAGCTGGTGATCATTTCTTATGGAGGGATCTGCCTTTCTCAATCCGCCAAGGCTGCTGTTGGATCAGGGCTTCCAAAAAGGTAACAGTCAGTGACTTGTGTCTGCTTGCCATTGTGGGCTACTTCCGTACTTACCACACTTTTATGCGTCGAGTGTACAATTTTGCCACTGAATCTCACACCAGGCCCAGCATGACGGACACTTTGTGTCTGATGTGCGAATCATTGTGCTACCACTTACCGCACCTTGAAGAGTATTCACCATTGTCCGTCCCTTCCTTGACTTTCGGTCTTTACACGCTTGTTTCCATACTAAACATGCTTACCTACGTCGGGATTCATCTTGTCAGACTGGAACTCTTGGTGGTTAGACTTCGAATAAAACGCTTCTTCCCTTTGTCATATTCTGTTGTGCGTTTTTCACTTTCATCCCTTGCACTCAGTTTTTCGTCTGTGATCATGCTCTTTATTATTGAAAGATATTTATAAAAATCTAATTTTATTTTCTGGAAACTTTTCCGTGTTTTTAAACCACTCGGGTACCGAATAGGCTTCGTTCCTGCCTAACTTTTGTGGATTAAGGAAGGAGAGATATTTTTGTGATGCCGTCGGGACAGACGCAAGCGTAAGACTTTCTAGGTGGATTTAAAACTTAAAACGTAGCTTGTACTAAATCATCAGGCAGATAAAGGACTACATAGGCTTTTGGGATTCACCCTACTTTTCAACCGTTGACTTATTTTATCTGTTTATTGAACACGGTATTCGCATCTTCACATACGTTTCAGCACACACATACGTCTGATGTTAGTTTGCCCTGCTTGGTTATCACCTTATTTTGAACTCAACTCCTAATTGATCAAAGATCAGTATCACTTGTTCGTTCGGCTCCAAACTACGTGCAATGAATTTATAGTAGCAAACTGTTCTTTTTTTTCACCCTACTTTTCAACCGTTGACTTATTTTATCTGTTTATTGAACACGGTATTCGCATCTTCACATACGTTTCAGCACACACATACGTCTGATGTTAGTTTGCCCTGCTTGGTTATCACCTTATTTTGAACTCAACTCCTAATTGATCAAAGATCAGTATCACTTGTTCGTTCGGCTCCAAACTACGTGCAATGAATTTATAGTAGCAAACTGTTCTTTTTTTGGAAGTCAAATCGTAGGGATCAAATTGCAGAATTTACGTATACTTGTGTATCCACCCATTGTTAGTCCTGGATACGTCCTTTACTCAGGCTAACTTAGTGGTCAGAATTGGTTCATCTTAGGTTTCGTATAGGCATGATTAGGGTGATTTCCGACTTGATTGTTCTTACTTCTCCCCAGAATGTCTTAGTGGATATCACCTCCACGCACGATCTTATCGCAGACCTAAAAGCAATAGGTGTCCTGAAGACTGTCCCAAGACTGGCTATGCTCTTCTTGAGGCCTAGCAGATGGGCGCATTCCCCGCATTTTTGTCATATTTGTGTTCTACTTGAACCCAAATTGCACAAAATTAGCGAAATACACACACTTGTATGCCAATTTGGTTTTGACGAAAGGCTCACTGGGAACTCAGCTGAATCTCTCGTTTATGATGTTTTTAAGCAGCACATTTAGCTAAAGCATTTTTTATGTTGCCCATTTGCTCCGCTCCAAGAATGAAACCTACTCATCAAGGAACTACCACCATATCGTCAAATATGTTTCTTATTCTGCAAGGTACTGGCTCGTACTGCCTTGTATCAGACAAAAAATTGCGACAAATGCATTCGCGAGGTAATATCTCTCAAAGAATGACTTTTAACTCATTCTATTCCGTGTTAATGTTCGCGGATGATAATTGTTGCGGAACTGCGCGTATCCTGTGAAATTTTTTATTCTTTTGTTTCCCAAATGAATAGGACTCAGTGTTCTGAAGTGGGTCCCATCATACTGAAATTCGTTGATCCAACTGTTATAAACTCTTATAAATGTGTTCACAAGAGTGTTTCACGACATTCCGGCTTCTTACTGTGACATTTAGCTTAACGGCTTTGTCTGAATAGAGAAGTCTGGCGCTCTGAAATTGCCTTGTGTGCTTGCAGCTGTTCCGTTTGTTTTCTGCATCGCATGGACCGACGAAGCCACATACCCAACCCCATTACCACTTTCGATTCGCCTATGATGATAAACCATCCTGATCTTGATCTAGCGTCAGCTGTTCCTCAACTTGAGGGACACGGAAAGGTTTA